GTTCAGTGAGGTTATTTGGACTAGTATTCCTTGGGCAATTACCCAAACCTAGCGTTCTGGCAGGGTTAATCACTGATATTCCTCTGAGTCTCCTCCCTGTTGAATATTTTTGGACAAGTGTTTTTGTAATTAACAGCTACATCAAGCTTCTTGCATAGTGACTATTTGAATTCCCCTCCCAAATGTTTGCAGAGCATCAGACTATTTTACAGAAAAATAATAATATTGCTGGTCATAATGACTCTTAAGAATTTCTGAGGGTACCAAATATAAAAATAGCCGTTTTTCAATAAAACAAAGAAAAGACATCCAGGGATGCAAATACCCTGTATGATCTTATATATGGATGTTCTAGAAGTAAATGTTATTGTTACCCCAGGGTGGTGGGTGGGGAATGTATGCAGTGTTGCATTCTGAATAACGACTTCCTTGGTTTCAATAGCAGAGTAATTTACTTTGATCTTATTTGTTCAGGTAGTTGTCAGAAGGAAAAATTATGTCAAGATTCTTTAGCTCCTGCTACCAACGTGTGGAAATGCTTTCCTCATCAGAGACAATGCTGTTCTATGTAATAAGTATTTTGATTCCGCATTAACAGAATGGCCAGATGATCTTCACTATCTTCGTTCCCATCTAATATTCGTTTGCGTTTTTGTTTTTGGCACCGATCTGGTAGCCCTGAGATTAAATCTTCGGGATGTCTAAGGAACACCTGCGATCTGTCGCTCATTTCGAGTGGAACCAAAGTAAACACCCGCCACGAAAACAAATCACGTGGAGAAACTCAGCAAGAGTAAGCTCCTCCCCCTTTCCCATTGAGATCCAGTAACGATTAGAGGCGCTGTCCCTCCCGTCCAATCAGAATAGGGTACGCCAGCTGTTCCCGGACGTTCTGTGCTACCCGCCCCTCCCCCCCAGGAAAAACTTGGAAAGATGGCGGCGCTGGTGTTTGCAGGCGACGTGGAAGTGGGTTTAGAGTCGGTGTTTCCGCAGGAACTGGAGTTGTTTGCTGATGCTTTTCCTGTGCAGACCCGGTACCGGCTCTGTGGGCACGAGCTGAGCATCACGCAGTACCACGGGGCGCGGCTGGGAGTAGCTGCTCCGGTCTGGGAGGCGGTGAGCGCTAGTCCATCCTGGGACGGTCGAGATTGAAGGGTCTTTGATGCTCTCTGAGCTCGGGTTGCAAGAGAGCACCAAGGAGCCCTCATTTCAACCCTGAGCTACAAAATATTCTCCTCCTTTAATGGTCGAGATGGCGCTGCTAGTTCAAGCAGATCCTTTATGCATGTATAAGTAGTTGGCAGAACAAAGAAAGTTCGGACAGTTTCACGTCTTAACAATTTATGATCATTCCTAGGAGATTTATTTTAACAAAAGCACCAGTAACGCCTCAACAACAACAGAAACATCACGAATATTTAAAGCTTCATTATGAATATTTAAAGCTTTTTGTGTTTCATTACATAAATACATGAGAGTGTTCTGGTTTCAAAAGGGACAATGTGGATTTGGCAGCCCTATATGCACATATTTAACTCCCTTTGGCACCTCTTTTCCTCAGTTGAGTTAGCTTTGAAGCTGGATTGGTTGCATATCGTTAATACATGGAAAGTATAAATTATACAAAAGAAACTCACAACAAGGAATGATACATAATTGTATCGGTTTCTTTAGGGGTGCTTAATGTACTTTGGAACATCATTTGCCTAATTTCTCAGTGGATATTCAGATCTGCGTCTTGACTTTACCAACTTTGTCAAGTAAGACAATATAAGACATGTGCTTGGCATGTGATAATCCAGAACAATTTAATATGTTTGTGCAAGTATTTTCATAACACTATTCTATTTGATTGAGACTTAAAACCAAAAGAAAACTTACAAACATAAAGAAAAAATCAAAATGCTAAAATAACATCTGAATCAGCACAGTCCATTATAATAAATAAGTCAAGCCCTGCTATCACGTTTGCTTAACCTTTTTATGTATTTATATTTTAATGGTCACATTAGCATCTCTCAATAAGCATATGACTATTCTGAAAGTCTAAGGATAAAGGGTATCTCAGATGAAAATGCATCATAGGTGTTTGCAGTGGGGAGCACAATGGAGAGGGACTGCAATGTCATGAAGAAACAAATCCAGTGAGTTGCATATGTGGATCTAATGTCAAAGTGCATGGACAAAAGAGTGATGCTTAAACCGTGGCATTAATTTATGCATGCTGTCACTTTTTCATTATCATGGTTACCTGCCAACAGTCAGGTACCTAGGGATAAGCAGAGATAAAAGTGCCAAAGGAAGGAAAGAGTGTCTTCTTTGGATAGCAAATACAAGGCCAGGATGAAGATATGAAAGAAGAGGCAATTGAATAAGAACAATAAGAGAGAGGGCTAGAGGAAGATGTTAATTGTATTGTACATAAACTTGTGCAAGATATATTTAGTTATAAGGAACACATCAGGTATCGACTCTAATTACTTATTTGGAAAAATGTAAACATCGAGGAATCATAACATTTTTCCTTGCAAGAAAAAAACATCTAGAAAAAGGTCAATCTGATATATAATATTTGGTGGTAAATAGGATTCTTCCTAGATTTGTTACATTCTAGGTATGAACTCTGTTGAGATCCCTTGAGATGAAGGAGCACCTAGAAGAGTCACAAGGAATATGGATGAACAAAGACAAGTCCTTCTAGGCTAGTGTTGAATAGAGGTCTGAGTAGAATACATCTGGGATGTCCAACCCTTGGCAACTTTAATATGTGTGGACTTCAAACTCCAGAATTCCCCAGCCAGCACCCTTGAATTAGACTAAGACCCATCTCATCCAGCATTCTGTATTGTACAGTGGCCACCCAGATGTGCCTGAAAAAGACCTTCCTTTTTCCAATTGGCAACACCACTCTCAGTGTTTCAGTTGTTCTGGGAAAACATTGTTTCTCAGAAATATGATGGATAAATAAACTTTGCAAGTAATAAACTTGTTAACTTATGATGTGTATGAAACAAGGGTGATGAAATAGAAATAACTGATGTTAAAAAATAATTAGTTGCAAAATACCTCAAAACAATTTCTAGAACATTGCCCCTTTGGAAACAAAAACCCTGTAGAATAGAAAATATGGTGCCCGCATCAAAAGAAGTCTATGAAGCATAAATTACTCATATATTTGGACTGATCTGTTAATTTTTTTGTTTGAATTTTTCATTCCAAAATGTTATTCCCTCATCTGTTTTTAAGGCTCTAGCTCTCTGTGAATATTTTGAAGCAAAGAAGGTGAACTTTCAGGACAAGAAAGTGATAGAGCTTGGTGCTGGGACAGGTGTTGTCGGGATCCTCGCATCGCTTCTTGGTATGTTGAATTAACTGCAGACAAAGATAGGGAAGATAATCCTCAACTTACAAGCACAATTGACCCCAGAATTTCTGCTGCTAAGCAAAATAGTTAAGTGAGTTTTGCCCTGTTTTACAATTTTTCTTGCTACAGCTTTTAAGTGAATCACTGTTAAGTTAGTAGCAATAACACTTAGGCATATATACCTCCCCATTGTGGTTTACAGCACTGTCTGTATAGTTTACAACATCAGCATATAGCCACCAACAATCTGGGTGTGCATTTTACTGACCTTGAAAGGATGGAAGCCTGAATCAACCTTGAGCCCATCAGGCTCAAATTCTAGGCTGTGGGGAGAGTTAGCCTGCAATATTACATTCTAACCACTGTGCCACCAGCACTCATCAAGTTAGTAACATGGTTGTTAAGTGAATCTGGCTTCCCCATTGACTTGTCAGAAGGTCACAAACGGTGATCACATCACTGGGACACTGCAACCGCATGTCATAAATACATGCAGTTGCCAAGTCTCCCAAATTTTATCATATGATGATGAAGATACTGCAATTGTTGTAAGTGTGAAATATGACCATAAAGTGACTTTTGGTAGCGCTGTTGTAACTTTGAAGATCACTAAATGAACTGTTGTAAGTTGAGGATTACCTGTACATAGTTTTTTTATTACATTTATATGCTACTCAATCTCACAGTTCCTTATTGGTATATTGTTTATGCATGGAATTATTGAATTCAACATGCAGCTTTATCATATTTCTGAATTGATATTATTGTTTTTGACACAGCTGGAGATAATTTGGTTATTTGTGGATAATACCTGTGGTCTAAACCCTTGAAAGCTTTTTGTTGTTCAGAGTTCCCTTTCTCTTTCTTTTTAGGAGGCCATGTAACCATCACAGATCTTCCTGTAGCCTTGAAGCAGATAGAGGAGAACGTCCATCGGAATTTGCCTGCACAATGCATTGCACGAACCAAGGTTTGTGCTCTATCATGGGGTCTGGACCACAAGGATTTTCCTCAAAATTATGACCTCATCCTCGGTGCAGATATTGTCTATCTCAAGGACACTTACCCACTCCTGATAAGGACTCTCCAGCATGTATGTGGTGCACAGTCTATTATCTATCTGTCTTCAAAAATGAGAGAGGAACATAGCACAGCACTGTTTTTTGAGAATCTGCTCCCTATGCACTTCACCACAAAACTCACCTTTAGGAATGAGACTGAGAATATTAATATCTACAAAGTGACCAGCAAGAATTACATTAGTTAAAGACTATCTTTGGACCTACACAGTAGAACATTCATTTTCCAACTTTAAAGAAAACGAACATTATGATTTGAGAATTCAGCGTGGAATGAACTTGGTAAAGATAAAAGTAAAGGTTTCCCTCGCACATATGTGCTAGTCGTTCCCGACTCTAGGGGGCAATGCTCCTCTCCGTTTCAAAGCCAAAGAGCAAGTGCTGTCCGAAGACATCTCCATGGTCATGTGGCCGTCATGACTAAATGCCAAAGGTGCATTGAACGCTGTTACCTTCCCACCAAAGGTGGTTCCTATTTTTCTACTTGCATTTTTACATGCTTTCGAACTGCTAGATTGGCAGAAGCTGGGACAAGTAACGGGAGCTCACTCCGTTACGTGGCACTAGCGATTCGAACTGCCGACCTTTCTGATTGACAAGCTCAGCGTCTTAGCCACTGAGCCACAGTGTCCCATTATGAACTTGGTATCTCACTAATTTCTGTCAAAACAGATCTGCAAACCTTGCAAGGAGGAATCCTATCAGAGAAACAGCAGCAGTCCTACAAAGCATATATTGCCAGTGAAAATTTAACAATAGGAGACAGCCATTCTCTCTACTGTTTTCCTCCTCTTTTCCTGAAGAGACCGTGAGTGAAGTCTGAAGTTATGTCTTTAGGAGTGTGTATTTTCTAGGAGTGAAATGGCTTTCAGGGATGGCTCATTTTGTTTTTGTTTTTTTGCAGGTATGTTCAAAAGTGGCTATCAGGCACCAAATGGTTTGTGTGCAAAAGACAGAATAGCAATAGCACTTAGACTTATATACCGCTTTACAGTGCTTTACAGCCCTCTTCCAGCAACATTTTATCATTTAATCTCTAACTAGAAGATCCTTTGAAAACCAGGGTGCTCTGGAATCAAGCCATATAGACACAATGTGATGCAAGGCTGTCACACCCTCAATCCAAAGTAGTAATTAAGGCCGCAGTTAAACCACTAATCAGAATCTCAGAAACGAACTCAAATTCCCTCTGAAATCCACAGGGTTCCATAAAACTGTCCTAAGAATGATATGGAATTCAAGGGTTGGTTCTTGCTTAAAAGTACAAGTTCAAGAATGTGCCAGCTAGGCGAAGTGAAGCATATAATATGTGCATTAAAACACATGGTGCCTTTTCTCATTTTGAGATGTTTCTATGTCTTCCTCTTTACAATAACTTATACAAAGTGGAAGGTGATGTTTGTATGTGCCTGTAAACAAACACTGTGCATTTGTATTTCCAACACTATAGTGTCCTATTCATTTAGGAATCAAGGCTTCAGTCGAATTTTATATACTGTTATCTTAAAATTTTGTAAATAAATTCTGCATTGCATATCGATTGTAGAAGTACAGCTGCAACAATATTTATTCTTGCTGCAGTGGATAGAAAATATTATGGTTCCTTGGGATTTTTTTGTCAACTGTCATATGCCAACTATTTCCTGAACTAAAATAATTTCTTATTTACGTCACTTGATCTCCGTCAATTACTATACGGCAAATGGTAAATCGCTAAGTATTTGCATCATTAAACAGCATTAAAGTCCATCTTTTAAAAAACTGCCAATTTTTTTTTTGGGGGGGGGGGTACCACCTGCACCACGCCGGCCTCGCTCCCTTCCTCTCCCTACGGCTCAGCGGCGTCTTGCTTCAACCAATGAAACGCCTAGGTGGGTTAGAGCGAATCAGCTTCGAGGGAAGGAAAGAGTGTTCTGCGCGCGCGCGGGGTTTACCCTTATAGGAAGCCGGCTCTCCCGTGTCGCATAGCGTAGAGGGTTGATGACGTCTAATTCTCGCGTCCTCGACATGCTGCGCGTTTCGGGGCTGGGGGGCATTCTGGTCTCCTTGCAAGCGAGGGGCGCTCTGGTGCCGCAGGTGAGAAGGGCGCCTGCCTGGAGATGATGCCGAACTTGAGCCAGTTTACCGGCAATGGTTCTGCTTGCGGCCCGTTTCCCTCCCCCCTCCCTCCCCCCCCTGCCCCTCCCACAAGTTGGATATTTTATTGTGGAATCGCGTGTTACAGTTTTTAACCTATTAGTAAATACACTGTGATTTTATAGGTGTTGTATTTTGTATTATAAACTTCCTAGAATAATTTATTACAAACATTATAAGAAAAGAATAGAAAGTTGTTCCCACACTCTCAGGTTCAGCTGGTAGGGAAAAACTGAGAGGTTTCTTCCATGCTTCAGAAGCCAGTTTAACACTATGGACTACATATTTGCCCTCTCATTTCTTCAGCATCTGAGAAGAACATCTCTTTTCTGTTGTTCTCACCAGTTCAAAAGACAGCCTTGCTACAGGTGAATTGGTACCTGCACATTCTCTTTGGGACTTTGTCAAAGTTGGAATTCTGACTGTATGTTTTTCTGCTAGAGGTCATTTCTAGTAAGATCAGTGGAATTGATTTCCAAGTGTCTGTATGGCAAGTCCCCAACCTATGGCCCATTATCAGGCCTTGAGCTGTTCAGAACTGGGCCGTGGAAGTGGCATGAGCAGCGGGCAAGCACATGCGTGCACACTCCATTTGTGTGTCACACGTGCAAATGGAGCTGTGCATGCTTGTCCGCCACTCACACAGAACCATCCCCCCCCACCCCCGAACAGTCGGCAAAGCCAGAAAGGTAGGGGAACTCTACTGTATGCGATCACACTCTTAATTCTTCTGATTAATTTTGTTATCCATAGATGGGTCAGTGGCAGTATCAAACCTTTTCATTTGGTTTTGTTGTTTTTCCCCATACAGCAATGGCATTTGCCTCGTTTCCTTCATCTTGGCATTCCTGCCCTGGCAGCAAAGGAAGCACTGATGAAACTTAGGAAGAAAACTGGCTATTCCTTTGTAAACTGCAAGAAAGCCTTGGAAAAATATGTTGATAACATTGAAGAAGTAAGAATAATTTGTGCATGTATATGATATTGTAATTCGTATTTTTCATTTTCTCATTCTTTCTCTGTCTATCAACATGCTGCTTCCAAAAAAAATCTTGTTTTAAAATCTGAGGTACAATTTTGTCTTAAAGCAGCAATCTTGTGCTTGCTGACAAAACAGTAAATCTGATCGACATTGGAGAATTTAGCCTGAAGTAAAATTAATTAAATCTGTACTGACTCTTGTTTCTTCTTGCCTTGTGAATCCATGCATACTTTCATAAGCAAACAAATTATAAAATCACATTTTTGGCATTGCCTTTTCTGTGCCACTGACAAACTTTTATACTGTTAAAGAGTGAACAGGAATGGGAGTGCTCAGATATGTAACCATCCATTGCTATTCCTGCTACTCTGAAAATCCATACATGGGAAAAACTGCAATGTGACCGAGGAACTTTTCAATGATTTTCTAACTTTTTACATACAAAGTATTTTTATAATAGGGACACGTTCAGAGCTGTTCACTACTTTTGTAGAAGTATAATGGGAGAAAACATTTGTTTTTATCTAATATCCCTTCAATTGAACAATGTCACTTTGGGATATTGGAAGTGGGCATTCTTTGTCATGGTACTACCCTCTTGAGCACTATTCTTTTCAAGATTTATGTGTTCCTCAGGCCCTATTTAAGTTAGCCATTTAACATATGTTTGTCTCTCAATCAGAATGGGTGGTAGTTCCCTTGTGAGATGTTTGATGGTTTAATTTATTTTGGTTTTTTTCTGAATTTGCTTCTGAATTATATATGCTTTATATATGCTACAGATGGTCCTCAATTTATGACCACAATGGAGCCCAAAATTTATGTTGTTAAGTGAGAAATTTGTTAAATGAGTTTTGCCCCATTTTACAACTTTCTTTGCCACATTTGTTAAGCAAATCACTGCAGTTGTTAAACATTTGTTAACATTTGTTAGTTACACATTTGTTAAGTGAATCACTGCAATTAAATCAGTAAGACATTTGAATCTGGATCCTTCTTCATTGACTTTGCTTGTCAGAAGGTCACAAAAAATGATCACATGATCCAGGACAGTGCAACCATCATGAATGTGAGTCAGTTGTCAAGCATCCAAATGTAAATTACATGACCATGGGGGAATGCTACAGTGGTCATAAGTATGAAGAACGGTCATAAGTCACAATGTTTTCAATGCCGTTGTAGCTTTAAACAGTCATTAAATAAACTGTTGTAAGTCAAGGACTAACTATTGGTATGTATGGGTGGATAGATGGGCAAATAATTTTATTTCATGCTGGGGTTTGTCTTCAAAGGCTGAAGTTTGGCTGCATGAACAAGCAAAGAAGGAGGGATGGAGCAAGGCATTGAAACTTCAAGGGCGGAAGACCAAAGAAGGTCTCATAGGGCTGCTTCAAGAGGGAAGCTCAGCCGTAATGGTAGAGGTGAGTCTTTCCTTTGGCCTGAAGGATGAAGACCTTGTTTTCTTCCACGCACTGAGGCCAAAATGTTTATAAAAATGGCATAGGGTGGGTGGGTGGGTGGATGTTTTTATCAAGGTCTCAGTGCAGTTTACTGTTTTAAGTGGCTTTATTGAGTTGTGCTTCTGTGTTCACTGCTCAGGTTTCCTTTTGGCAGATGGGCAGCTATATAAATTGGTTAAAAAAATAAACAATAAACAGCTTGGAGTAAGAATGATTATATGGGAATATGCTTCCCCTTAGCATATAGGTCTGCTCTGCCTTGAACATGGTGCTCTTCGACGTTTGGGGCTACGAGTCTCTTTAGAAGGGGTCTTCAATTTTTTAAAAAATTTGAACCATTTAAATTAAAAGAATTCATTCTAAATTCAACCTTAGAATAGAATAGAATAACAGAGTTGGAAGGGACCTTGGAGGTCTTCTAGTCCAACCCCTTGCCTAGGCAGGAAATCCTACACTACTTCAGACAAGTGGTTATCCAACTTCTTCTTAAAAACTTCCAGTGTTGGAGCATTCACAATTTCTGGAGCAAGTTGTTCCACTGATTAATTATTCTGTCAGGAAAGTTCTCCTCAGTTGTAAGTTGCTTCTCTCATTGATTAGCTTCTACCTATTGCTTCTTGTTTTACCCTCAGGTGTTTCGGAGAATAGCTTGACTCCCTCTTCTTTGTGGCAACCCCTGACATATTGGGGATATTGCTATCATGTCTCCCCTAGTCCTTCTTTTCATCAAACTAGACATACCCAGTTCCTGCAACCGTTCTTCATATGTTTTAGTCTCCAGTCCCCTAATCATCTTTGTTGCTCTTCTCTGCACTCTTTCTAGAGTCTCCACATCTTTTTTACATCGTAAATTTCAGACAACCCTTTTGCGTTTAAAATGGGCTGCCTTACTTACTTAATAGCGAGTTCAAAGTGAACGGTATCAAACTTAAATTACTGCTTCTAAAATTCCAAAATGGCCTATTTCAAATTGCCAATGGAATAATTTGACTTTGAAATGAGTCTCTGCACCATTGCTCTCTGACCAGAGTCAGCAGGACGAGTGATCAGGGTTAGTGAGAATGTCAAAGACAAAGAGAAACAAATGTTTGCATGATAGTTTGCTGTAATTCCGAAAAGCCTCTCTGGGTATAAGTTTGGAATCAAGTACTGTCTTTGAAAAGCCACTTTCTTTTACGTCTCAGAGTAACACTATAAACATAAATACTTGCTTTTGAGGCTGCTGAGGTAATGTAGGAAATATTCCTGGTCTTTCCCAGATTCAAATATCAGGAAGTCTAATTTATCTTAAAGTATAGGTCAGTTACTGGTCATAGGTTTTTAAACACATGGCTTCCTGGGTTTTCCCCTTTATTTTATTGTTTTTCTTGAGCAATACTGGCATTGAATAAAGTGACATAGTGCTGGGATCCTGTTTTTGTAATAGGATGCTGCTCAGATCAAGAGATAGCTGCAATGGTTTAGCAGCTGTTTTCATTTTTTTTAATCTGGCGGTGGGATGGGGGTGGGACAGGCAATGGAGCTACTAATGATCCTATTAGCAGCCATTTTACATCCACTTCTCCTTAGACAAGCACAACCCGTACAATAGTGGGACTATCTTTAAAAGTAAGTCCAGCTAATAATTAACTAGTGGTGTTGAACATCCCTGAGGGATGCAGTGGCTCAGGGGCTAAGACATTGAGCTTGTCGATCAGAAAAGTTGGCAGTTCAGCAGTTCGAATCGCTAGCACCATGTAACGGAGTGAGCTCCCGTTACTTGTCCCAGCTTCTGCCAACCTAGCAGTTTGGAAGCATGTAAAAAATGCAATTAGAAAAATAGGAACCACCTTTGATGGGAAGATATCAGTATCCATGCGCCTTCTGTGTTTAGTCATGCCGGCCACATGACCACGGAGATGTCTTCGGACAGCGCTGGCTCTTCAGCTTTGAAACAGAGATGAACACCGCCCCCTAGAGTCAGGAACAACTAGCATATCTGTGCGAGGGGAACCATTACCTTATTGAACATGCAGTAAACAGAGAGCTAAAATAGCATTTTATCAATTGTTTTGCATACAATGCTATATTTAGCTTTGATTCATTGTAGTTTTAGAATACAGGATATTCTTACAGGGTAAGGAAAAGAGAAGAATGTCAGATTTCTAAAAATTTAGGATCTCACTTTTACCCAGCTTTGACTTTGGGAAAGTCTTTGTGTCTAGCTCTATTTTAACCTCTTTAGTAATATATCTGCTGGTGAGATATTTCTAAGTTAGCCATGCTTTTCTGCCAGGTAAACTGTGAGACCGATTTCGTGGCCCAAAATGTTAAATTTCAGCAGCTGGTTCAGCAAGTAGCTATTGGAACAATGATTCACCATAAGGAGATCATAGACCAGTCAAACACATATGCTAAGGTAAGAACGATGTAAACATGTATTTGGGGCTCAAAAATATCTGGTAATTTTGAAGAAATGATATTGATGTTTCAAAGCACTGCATTTAAATCTTCTTGCTGGTTGTTACTTCAGCAGCACCTTCAAACAAAACTCTACTTGGGCAATTAAAAATGTAGGAGATGTCAAAGGTAGCTTTTTAGGTGGGGGCCTGGCCAGCATGGCACATGAGACTTAGTCTAAGAAATTAGTGCATTGCTGATCAGAAACAGGTATGCATTCCCCATACTGATACTAAGGTATCTTTCTCAGAAGCGCCTGCAAAAATGCAATGATTCTTTGGTATTAAGTCCTTCAGAAGAAAAAATGCACTTTGCTGCAAAATTGCCTTGTAGCCCATGTCTTGCATCTATTAAGTAAATGGATGAAATTTATTTATGTACAATTTCATCTATTGCTGTATTGTGAGAAAACCTCTAGTAATCTAGGCCATTTCCTGGTTTAGTCTCATCTTAGCTTGAATCCAACATTCTCTGTTTTTTTCCAGGCTAAATATGTTCTATTCTTATGGTGGATAAAATTCTCCAGAAAATATAGGAACTTTATGCTCCAGGACAGGGATCACTTGTTTGTTTTTCATGGCAATGGTCCATTGTTGACATCTTTTTGTGAGGTGATGGGCATAGTACATGGACCAAAGATGCAAAATAAACAGAATTTCTACATCAGTTCATCTGGGTTTTTTCCCCTATTTTGGGAAGTTGAGAGTAGTAGTAATTTACTTTTTGAGTTGTGTGAAGAGTATCTCAAAACACACAGATTTCAAGTCTTGCTTACTTTAAAATACTATAAAACATAGGGGATGCGGTGACTCAGTGGCTAAGACGCTGAGCTTGTCGATCAAAAAGGTTGGCAGTTTGAATCCCTAACGCAGCGTAACGGAGTGAGCACACGTTATTTGTCCCAGCTTCTGCCAACCTAGCAGTTCGAAAGCACATAAAAATGCAAGCATTTTAGGAAGGTAACAGAGTTCCGTGCACCTTTGGCATTTAATCATGCCGGCCACATGACCACAGAGACGTCTTTGGACAGCGCTGGCTCTTCAGCTTTGAAATGGAGATAAGCACCACCCCCTAGAGTCAGGAAGAACTAGCACATATGTGCGAGGGAGACCTTTACCTATTTTTTTTTAAAAAAAATAATAATTAGGAATTGAAACTGGGCTAGAATGAAGGAGGCATCCTCTGTAGTTTTATTGCATGTTGCCTTATAGGAAAAGAATAGAACCTACAAGTCAGTCAGGCTTTTTCTCCCTCAAGTGCTTGTCCACCAGTGTTGTTGTACTTATTATGTGTGTTTAAAATTTATTTACTGTTTTTTAAAAATAGTTCTACTGTATAACTTGTTTGTAACCCAGCACTACATTAACTAGATTGCAGATGGTCTTTAAAAAAAATACATTTTAAGTTAAATAACTTACAAACCAGTAGTTGGCAATTTCTTAAGCTTTCTAGATGTGATTTGTTGTAAGAGCACAACGATCCTATTTGTATTTGTGGGTGCCAAATTGGATGAGTTTGATAAAAGAAAAATACTGCAAGAAAATAGCGTAGAAGCCCTTTATTGCTGTTGCTGGGATATTAGACTACTGCTTCTTGCTGATAATTTTCTGCTGATGTGGTTTGCACCTTTCTCTTTATTCCATTTTTATTATTCCAAATTCCTTACCACATCAGAAGAAAAGCCATGCATACAGCCAAGTCGTTAAAAAGAACTGGTCTCTGGATTTACTTAGCAGGTTTCCATTTAAAAAAATTTATTGACACCATGTTTGAATGTTTTCTAGCGTTTCTTAAATTCTGATGAGCTTTCTCAACTCAGGACAGGCCCAGAGGGATCTTTGCTTACTGACCAACTTGCTCTGGCGATAGGTGAGTGTTTGGTGCCCAGTTAATAACCAGCAACGGGCAGAAAGGGCTGGTAACAATTTCCTGTGTTCATGCACTGTCTTTTACTTTTGAATGGATGGAATTTATGACTGATGGAGAGATGTAATATTCTATCTACCCTGTTTTTCCCAAAATAAGACCCAACTGGAAAATAAGCCCTACCGTGGTTTTTCACGATGCTCATAATATAAGCCCTATCCCAAAAATAAGACCCAGTTAAGACCATCAACCAGACGGATGCATTTAGTACTGTATTTCCAGAAAACAGGACCTAATCAGGGAATAAGCCCCTATGCATCTTTTGGAGCAAAAATTAAAATAAGACCAAGTCTTATTTTGGGGAAAACATGGTATTTATATACCTGTTTGCCCAAGAGCTCAAGGCAACATACATGTAGGCCCCTGCTCATTTATTCTTCCCTGGGAGAGGAAAGTTGGACTGAGAAAGAGTAATTGGCCTAAAGAGACTCTGTGCAGTCTCCACCATCTGGGGGACATCCAACTCTTAAACTACTATCCTAATTTTAAGGGAACTCTTCAAATATTCCATTTTATTCACATTGTTGCTTTGCCACATGTTGGTGAGCCCTGAAACATTCTCTGTACCTTTAGTGATTCATGCTGTTCTCTCCGTTTTTCCTCCTCCCCCTTTTTAATTCCCCCCCCCTCTTTTCTTTTAAAGGCAAGCTAGGTGAGAACATGGTTGTTAAGAGGGCAGCATGCATATCAGTGCCTGAGAATTTCTTCATCGGCTCTTACGTACATGGGTCACCCTCCGAAAGCAGCTCATGGCTTTCTAACATGTTATTTGGCAAATATGGTGCCATGGTGATCTGCAGTTCCTCGGAGGAAGACCCAAAGTCTGACATTACTGAACTGAGCAGGAAACTGGCCCAGCATGTGGTAGGTATGGCCCCTCTCTCTGTGGGCTCTGCGGAAGACGAACCCGGAGATGAATCTGAAACAAAGATGCTTGCCCAGCCGTATGTGATGGAGCCAACTATTTCCTTGGGACAATTCCTTCAGCCGACTGGTATATCTGTCTTGGATTTTGTGCGGTTTGAATGTGGAGAAGATCCAGAGTTGTCCGAATCAAGCTAGGCAAGATTGGTTTTTCAGACTGGGAATGTCAGACTAGTTCCCAGTTCTGCTTGGGCTTGGGAGCGATTCACAGAAGTAGCTGGTAATGCCAGTAATTCTACGTCTATAGGCAAGAATGAAGAACTTTGAATGTCTTTCGGAAACACTGAAATAACTTTTGCGTAATGTGACCAACAAAATATGGCAAACAGATGTTAATGTCATAAATAAAATACGAGTTCCTTCTGTGATTGTAATGGTAAGTTTCTGAGAGGTTGTGGCCTCTGATTCAAGCCTGTCATATTGTTCGCATTAGCATTCTGAAATGTGACAAATCTGTCTTTATTTTCTGTAAATGAAATCAGTAGGATTCTTTGAAACTTACTGTCAGCAAACACCATGTGATTTTAGCCTATATTTAAAGTGTTTAACCAGAGGGGCAGAATATGTATTTTGCTGAGTAATTAATACCTCTATTAGTCTGATTAATGGTGCGTTTGTGAAGAAGTAGTAAAATAAATAGGGTAAAGGATTCATGAGGGGGAAGGAAAGGATGTTTTTTTCTGAATGCCAGTGACAGGTTAGGACTGACAGTCATCCGGAAGACACTAAATGAGAAAGAATTGTCTGATGTAAATAGCTGAATCATGAAGAACAGACATTCCTCATAGCCCTTGGAAACTTCCTGCAGCCTCTTCCTAGACGAGCACAGATCCAACTATCCTCAATTGTAGCAATAAGTAAATTACGGTCTTAAATTTTTGCCCTGCGCCCTCTGCCCCAGATCCTGAAAGTGTCTGGAATAGTAGCGGTGGGGCATTGTAGTTGCCGTCCACCAGAAGAATGGTTCTTCTTTAATAGAAGATCGTGTTCTGTTTCCTGCTGTAGTTTGTAGTATTTGAACAAACGTAACAGGTTTCTGGGCCACTGTTGTAGATAAAACACATATGTTTAGTAACCCATGCTGAAACTGGCTTTTGCACAGTGTAAGACGGATGTCTTCAGTACCCACATGCAACATCAGTCTGGTTACTTTATATCCATATTAACTTTCTAAAGAGTTGGCATCTTTTAACATAGCTTAGACCAGTGAGGGCTATCTATGATACATATCTTAAAGGTGACATGCAGTGACATTTTAGGTGATAAGCCAACATTCACCAACACTCAACATTCTTGAAAGTACACTCCACTATTGCGTAATTTTCAGAGGCTGTGTGAGAATGGGGTAAGCGCTCACACAGCTTCTGGATCCTCTGAAAATTGCGCAAGAATAGGGTGTGCTTTCATATGGTTTTTGGAGGCTGCAGATAAGTTTCTCTGAAGTTTCTTCAAGGACAAAGGCGTCATGGACCTGAACTAGCCTGGGCTAGTTCCACAGGGTTCTGTCAATAGAAAGAGAACACTGCTTGAAATAATGTGTGGCAGATCCTGGTAAATACTGAATCTCGGGGGCAATTACAGTGTTCCCCAAGATTTGTGCATCTTGGGGAACAGCGTGAGATGGCCAGGTGGTGGTGGACAAACTTAGGTCTAACCTTGGTGGTGCTGATGCTGAATGTCACTGTTCAAAGTGGCCTAGATGGGGGCAGGAGTTAGGTTTTTTTTTAATCCAGGGTGTGTGGTCTGATACAGCAGCAGAGTGAAGTTAGACAATTGCTAGAAACCAGCATGGCTTTGTCAAAAACGAATAATGCCAGAAAAACTTTATTGCATTCTTTGACAAAGTGACTAAATTGGTGGCTCAGGCTGATACTGTGGACATAGACTTCACTAAGGCATTTGACAAAATAGATTGCATCTTCTTGGTAAGATAGAAAAATGTGAGATAGACAATACCACCACCAGATCTTGACAGACTTGAACACTGGGTCCTATCCCACAAAGTGCAATTCAGTGGTGAGATTAGTAAGGTCTTACACTTAGGCAAGAAAAACTAAATGCCCAGGGTATAGTATAGGTGGTACCTGGCTCAACAAAAGTAACTGAGAGGGACCTAGATGTCCCAATGGACAACCAGAAAGAGCCAGGAGTGTGCTGTGGCTGCTCAAAAAAGCCAATACAGTCCTGCGCGTCATCGATAGATGGTTAGTATCAAGATCATGTGAAGGGTTAGTACCATTTTATACTGCACGGGTAAGACCACATTTGGAATAATGGAATACTGTGCCCAGTTTTGGTCAACACAATACTAAAATGATGTTGAAACTCTTTAGAAAAGAGTGCAGAGAAGAGCAACAAAAGATGATTCAGAGACTGGAAGCTAAATCATGCAATGAATGGAAGTGGTGTGTCTAGTCAAGATGGCGCAGTGGTTAAATGCAGCACTGCAGGCTACTGCTAGATCAGCAGGTCAGCGGTTCAAATCTCACCGGCTCAGGGTTGACTCAGCCTTCCATCCTTCCGAGGTGGGTAAAATGAGGACCCAGATTGTTGGGGGCAATATGCTGACTCTCTGTAAACCGCTTAGAGAGGCCTGAAAGGCCTATGAAGCGGTATATAAGTCTACTGCTATTGCTATTGCTATTGCTATATAGTCTCATGAAGAGAAGGACTAGGGGTGACATGCTAGCAATCTTCTGATATTTGAGTGGCTGCCACAGAGAATGGGGTCAACCTATTCTCCAAAGAACTTGAGGGCAGGACAAGAAGTAACGGATGAAAGCTTATCAAACAGATCTGATCTAGAATTAAGGAGAAATTTCCTATCAGTGAGAACAATTAATCCATGGAATGGCTTCTCTCCAGAAGTTGTAGGTGCTCCGTCATTGGAGATTTTAAAGAAAAGATTGGGGAGCCATTTGCCTGGGATGGAATGAGAGTGCTACTTGAGCAGGGGGTTGAACTAGAAGACCTTCAAGGTCCCTTCCCTTCCCACTTTGTTATTCTGTACATTATGACTTTGTGACCAATCCTCACATTCATGACCTTCACGGTCCATGAAAGAAAAGTTGAAGTAAGATCATATACACAATTGCTGCTTCATTTAGTAACAGCTTTACCTAATGACCAAGTTGCCAATCCCTGATGCAGGAGCTCCTGTTTGTTGGTGCTGGATAAAAGATGGCTTACTTGTATACAATGCCAAAATGGCAGCTGCTAAGATGTGCTCCTGCAGTAGTGTGTGCGCTCAGGAATTTGTTGTGCACTATGCCTGATTGTGAGTAATTGGAAGCATATCAGGGAAAGAAAGCATGGCAGACTAGTTTCCTCAAGTCAAAGTAGAACAGAGGTAGAAGATTGCACTAAGTTAAGGTAAATTGGGCTTTTGGTATATATTCTTGTTCTTAGATAAGCCTTGATAGATGGCAATCAATGCTATAGATCAGTGTTTCTCAACCTTGGCAACTTGAAGATGTCCGGACTTCAACTCCCAGAATTCCCCAGCCAGCATTTGGGGATTTGGCTGGGGAATTCTGGGAGTTGAAGTCCGGACATCTTCAAGTTGCCAAGGTTGAGAAACACTGCTATAGATGACAGGTCCTGAAACTTGTGAGGAACTTAAAGGAGGGTTAAAAAAATGTTTTTAAAAAAATTTATACTATCAAAAAAAAATGCAGCATATGTATCTTGTCCAGAGAAATTAGCTTATTCTATTATTTAATTTTCTGGGCTTTATATCTGGCATTCCCTTCAGGTGCTTAATGTGGTACTATGTAATTTGATGTAGGTTGAACTGAGAACGAGTGTCTGTAAAACAGAATGAAATCCAGTCATTAAAAATAAGTAATATGCTTGTTTCTTGCCCAGCCCTAACCTCCAATTGTTTGTTTTATTCATGGGTAATATAAAAATTCACATAAAATTTTAAAAAGTGCAAGGGCAAGAACAATCACCTTGCTAAACTTCTGAAATGAAGCATCTATAATTCAGGATCCTTTGTATGTAACCTTAAAGGGGAAGGCAAGTCTGTGAATCACTGGATAACCTCGGGTACTCATCCATCCCAATAGCAATATACCACTTCACAGTGCTTTACAGCCCTCTCTAAGTGGTCTACAGAGTCAGCATATGGCCCCCAACAATCTGGGTCCTCATTTTATCCACCTCTGAAGGATGGAAAGTTGAGTCAACCTTGAGCCGGTCAGAATCGAACTTCTAACAGTGAGCTGAATTAGCCTACAACACTGCATTCTAACCATTGTGCCACCACCGTTCCTAACCAGCATTATCATTAGGAATAATGGGAGTTGTCATCCAAGAACGCCTGAAAGTTCTTCCTTTCACAGTTCCAATATTCCTTGAAAATAGATAATAAGGTTCAAAGCAAATATTCACTATTCACATTTTTAATAGTGATCATGTAACAGTACATGCTTCAAAGCGGCAGCCCTTCCAAAAAGCTTGGATTTCCAGGAGTCAACCCAGTTGCTATTTATAGGGTAGGTATTTGCCCAAAGCACAGCCCCAATTACTAGTGGGTCTGCCAAGTTTCAGCAGTTCAGTTTACTTCACAGGCAGTGACTTTTCTGCTAATGAAGACTTGTTAGAGAGAGGGTACTTGATGATAGCGGGGAGAATAAACTTCCTGGACAGCAACAGCCCTTAATAGATTAAAACAACTTTCTGAATGTACTTAGGCCCAATATGGATACACTCTTAAAAGAAAGACAGCTCCTGAAGCAAGCTGCTTCTGGACTTGGCTCCTCGAACGAAGAGAAACCCAAGAAAGATGGTTCCCAACTTCAAGTTTGAGAAATGCCGTATTGTCTTTTTCCTCAGAAAAGACCCCTTTCTTTTTTCATGTTAAGTTGCTTCCAAGCAGGGAGAGTAGCGAACTTTTCCCGGGGGATTCCAAAGACTCTCATAAAATCATCATCTGACAGGAAATTCTATGGATGGGGAAAAATAACAACAGATGAGTAAGAAGGATGAGGCTGGAGCAGAATGTAGAAACAATGGGATTTCTCCCAATTCGGTTAATATTAGCTCTACAGTTCCCATCAGACTAAATTAATCATTCCATTTGCTCTTAAAAGTCTTATTTTGATTAGAGGAAGAAACCACACCGGATTGAAAGGTAAAGGTCTTACCACACTGAGCAGTATGCACTAAGAAACATAACTTGTTGTTTAAAATATGGTTGTCATGAGAAACTTGGCAAAAGACTAAAAAAATGGATTGAGGTAATGATAAAGGAATTAACACATGTTGTCCTAGTTATTTAACTATAGGCTGACTATATAAGAGGGAAAAATAAGGCTTCAATGAGTTAGGGCTAGAATCCTTCCTCGTATGCCAATTTTGTAGATGAATGAGAACTGGGGAGATATACTTGCCATTGAGTTGCAATTCAAACTTCCGANTTTAAAACACTAAATTTTTTACAATAGAGAAGGGCTCTATGTATTTGGGAGCAAGTTTCTTGCAAGTTTTCTTCCTTCCCTCTTTCTCGCTTTCCCTCCCTACTTCCCTTCCTTTCTTCTCTTTCTCTCTTTCTTTTTCTTTCTCCCTTCCTTCTCTTTTTTCTTTCCCCCTCCCTTTCTTCTTTGTTTCTTTCTTTTTCTTCCTCCCTTCTTTCTTTATTTTTCTGTCCTTCCTTTTCTTTCTTTCTTCTCTTTCTTTCCTTCTTTTTCTTTCCCTCTCTTCCCCTCCCTCTTTTCTCTCTTCCTTTCTCTCTCACCCACCCTCCCTTCCTTCTTTCCTTCCTTTCTCTCCCTCCCTCTAGCTGAAAACTAATTCAGCTCCCTGTTTGGAGATCTAGACATAAAATTGTCTGAACTAAACCACGGCTTCGCAGTTCTTGTATTCTCAGATTGGTGAAGGATGCCTCGTCACAGCTGCTCTCCGTCTTCCCAATTCCTCCATCACAGATGCGTTCCAAGCCCCAGAACTGATTTTCCTCCTGATTCCGATTAGTCAGTTTCAGATGTGGAAAACTGGAAAAGCCAACTTACCACTCATCAGCAACTTGTCTTCAAAAGTTGCTCGGAAGGCTCCCTCTGGGGTCCTGAGGGCTTTCTTAATCTGTCCTCGGATGCCGCTCACCGTACGGATGGCTGCCCCCTCAAACCTAGCCACTTCCAGCATCGAGTTAAACATCCCCTGTGTGGCATGGAAGAACATTTCTATTTATGGTGTCTCAGGATTAACAATAGTAATAGCAATAGCACTTAGACTTATGTACAGCTTTACAGTGCTTTACAGCTCTAAGTGGTTTACAGAGTCAGCACATTTTTCTCAACAATCTGGCTCCTCATTTTATCCACTTGGAAGGATGGAAGGATGAGTCAAGCTTGAGCAACTCCTAGCAGTGGGGAGAGTTAGCCTGCAATACTGCGATAGATAGATAGATAGATAGATAGATAGATAGATAGATAGATAGATAGATAGATAGATAGATAGATAGATAGATAGATAGATAGATAGATNAGAAAACGGTTGGGAATTTTTTTTTGTAAAAAAATGGTTTTCTTCTTAATTGCTCACAGTTTGGGAGAGCTCTGGATTTTACAACTTCTGTTGTGGCCCACCAGCAGCGCTGACAGCAGACTCAGTGAGGAGGTTGGAGAGGAACATGGGCCAGTCCTGGAGTCTGGGGAAGGCTCTGATGAGGGCTCTGTGTTGGAGGCAGAGATGGAGTAGGGCCATCTGATGGTTATCAGCTGCCTTTGTAGTTGGACATCAATGGGACAGAAGAACAACTGGAGCCTGTTCCCAGTGTGCACATGAGCAGAGCTGCCAGGAGAAGGGAACAGCTAAGGAACAGGGGTCGACTCAGGAGTAAAGCCACAGGTGGATGGTGAATGGCCCCTCCCATAGATAATAAAGAGGAGCAAAAGAGGAGGGGAGTTTGCAGGAGACAATTACCCGTATTTTTCGGAGTATAAGACGCACCTTAATTTTGGGGGAGTAAAACAAGAGAAAAAGTTTCTGCCTCTGCTTACCAGCATCCATCAGTATTAATCTAGATAGTGTTCTTGCAGCAAACAGCAGGTAGAATACCCCCAATCAGCTGTTCCAGGCTGTGGGGATTGCCACACCCCATCACCGCCTCTGTGCCTCACATTTTCAGGTGGATCCAGGCAGTGAGATCCTTACTTCCACTCGGATTTTGATAACAATCTTTTTATCCATTTAAAACAAATCCTATCACCCTATGCTTTTTTACTGGAAGGGGGTGGGATGGAGTATGATTTTCATGGGGGCAGAAGAGGAACTTGGCACTGAAGGGTCCACTCCCAAGATGCCCCGTCTTCCTACCTATAACCGTAGGCATTGAAAGCCTGGCTTTCTTGAAGCAAGCCCGATAGACACACAGCACTGTAGTCCTTCGGGATGCTGCCATCTCATAAACATGTTACTGGGCTTCCTAGCAAGCCCCCTACATTTTTGCTGCTTCCCGAAGCAGCTCTACGAAGCACAGGGATCAGGATTTGGTTGGCAAAGTGGGCACAACGCAGGAGGCATAAGGCAGTTGCCATGATCTCCACTGCCTTTAACGCCTTCATTTCACATCCGCTGCCTTCTGCGCACCCGGTTGAAGATCCACCACCCTCTTCCCTACATTCATACAATAGGACAGCTTTATTATCATGACAGCCGTTTGAGCGGAAGGTGACCTGCCTCTACTTCTGATTGTGCTCCACCTGGATGGGGAAGCTGCCGCCGCCGGGCTCAGCCCTCTCCCCTGCTGCTGGCTGCTTTGCCTTAGTCCGTGCATGGTGGGGAAGAGCTCAGAGGGGAGCTCGGGTGCGGGGAAGAGCGTGGAATGGGGGATCCATCCTTCCCCAATCTTGATCAAGCAGTTCCTGCAGGCCAGCTGTCAGGGGAGCGATCTGTGTGAGTCTCCTACCAAGAATTTTGTAATGAGAAGAGGAGGGGGGGAAGGAAACCCCTCTGGCTGCGAAGGTTTTTGGTATTGGGAAGAAAAGCTTTTTCAGGTGGCAGCGCCACTATTCCCTCCGATTGCAAAAATGGTGCATGCGGCGGGCACTGCAGACTCACTTTCTCTTTCCTCCTGGCCAGATCTGCCTCCTGAAACGCCTTCATTTCAGATCCGCCGCCTTCCACACGCGCCGGGGGATGGATCCCCCATTCCACGCTCTTCCCCCCCTGCCTGAGCTTCCCTCTCATCAATTGATGTCACGTTTTTACCTGG